TACATACTTAACTAATTACTTATTTACTTACCTACTTACTTACTTACTTACTTACTTACATACTTACTTACCTACTTACTTGCTTAATACTTACTTACTTATCTAATAACTTGCTTACTTACCTACTTACTTACCTACTTACTTACTTGCCTACTTAATTAATTACCTACTTACTTATCTACTTACTTGCTTACTTGCCTACTTACTTACCTACTTATTTAGTTACTAACCTACTTACTTACCTAATTACTTATTTACATACTTACATACTTACTTCAATCAATCAATCAATCACCTTTATTTTACCAGGTAGAGCCCGTTGAGATCGAGATCTCGTTCACAAGGGTGACCTGGTCAAGTGGTCATCAGTACACGTCACAGGGTAATTGACAATAAGCATTTACACTTATCAAAAGAAAAAAGAAACTACTATCGCGATAAATAAATGTTAACAGTTTGAAACCATCCGGATAAGACAGACTTCTGTAGACATTAAATGTAGAACAGACATCAGGTTAAGTAGACAGAGTTAAAAGTCAACAAAGACATGCATATTTGATAAGTAGTGTTTTAGAAACATCTGCAATGGTCCAGATTTTTGAAAACATTATCTGATACGGTTGACATGAAGGATCTAGGCGAGATGAGTGTTGATAGTTTCAAATCTGTCTGTAAGTTGTTCCAGGCTGAGGGGACGGCGAAGCTGAATGCTCTTTGTCCTAGTTCAGTTCTGACCAGAGGAACTGACAGGAGGATTAAGTCATTAGAGCGCAGGGAGTAATGATTGTGTGATGTTTGTATTAGGGAGGTAAGGTATGACGAGACTAGGTTTAGAAGGGTCTTATAGATGAAGGATATCCAGTGAGAGTATCTGCGAGCGCTGAGAGAAGACCAGCTAGACTTGACGTAAAGTACACAGTGATGAGTGTGATAACTGGAATCAGTAATGAATCGAAGGGCACCATGATAAACTGAGTCTAAGGACTGTAGGTATTTTGATGCAGCACACATGTACAGCACGTCACCATAATCTAACATCGGCATGAAAGTTGCAGCTACTAATGTTCTCCTGGCTTTACATGAGAAGCAGGATTTATTTCTGAAGTAGAAGCCTAGCTTCAGTTTGAGTTTAGTGACCATTTTGGAGATGTGGATTTTAAATGACAGTTTATTGTCAATGTTGAAACCTAGATATTTGTAGGTGGAGACCATTTCCATTTGTTTTCCCTCTTGGGTTTCAATTTGAGGTGGGTTCTCTGGTTGCTGCTTTCTGTTGGATAAAACCATGATCTTGCTTTTGTCAGCATTTAGGACCAGTCTAAGTTTTTGCAGACGTGACTGGATAATATTAAAAGCGTCTTGAAGAGAGGTGAAGGCTTGGCTGAGGGAGGATGAACAGCAATAGATGATAGTGTCATCTGCATAATAATGGTGGGAGGCGTTTGACAGATCACTGCATAGATCGTTGATATATAAGGAGAAAAGAATGGGACCCAAGACAGAACCCTGTGGCACCCCTTTCACAACATCTAAGCAAGTAGAGGAGGATCCGGCTACATGGACAGACTGTGTTCTGTCAGTTAGATAGTTGGTGAACCAGGAGACTGCTAGTTTTGATAGACCAGAGTGTTTCAGGATGTTAGTCAATAGTCTGTGATCAACTGTATCAAATGCCTTGGATAGGTCTATAAATAGGGCAACACAGTATTGTTTGCAGTCCAGGGCATGTATGATGTCATTTAATACTTTGAGAACTGTAGTTACGGTACTGTGCTGTTTTCTGAATCCTGACTGGAATTGTGATCAAATATTATTTGATTGTAGAAAAACAGTTAGCTGATCACAGACAAGTCTTTCGAACAGTTTAGCAAGAATGCATAATTTAGAAATTGGTCTGTAGTTGTTGACATTAGTTGGTTCACCCCCTTTTAGCAGAGGGAGAACATAAGCCGATTTCCAGATTTAGGGTATTGTATTTGTATTTCGACTGAGATTGAAAATACATGAAAGTGGTTCAGCAATGAAATCTGCAGCTAGTTTTAGGAAAAGGGGTTCTATGTTGTCAGGTCCTGCTGCTTTGCGTGTGTCAAGAGTTTTTAGAGCATTTAGAACCTCACTGGGAGATAGTGATACAAAGTCAAATCGGTTTGTGACCTGTTTGTCTAGCACATGCGAAGTTGGGGGTGGATTTTCATCAGTTTGGTCAGCAGATAACATTTCAGGATGCGTAGATTCGAACAGGGAGCCAGAGGATATAAAGTTTTCATTAAAACAGTTTAGAATTGATAATTTGTCTGACAGAATACCTGAGCTGGTCATAATGGAGCTGGGTAAATCAATGATTGTTGTCTGACCAGAATGTGATTTTACTATTTGCCAAAGCCTTTTTGGATCATTTAGATTTTTTTGTGGATGTGTCCAGGTAGTAATTTGATTTTGCATTTCTAATTAGGGTTGTGCATTTGTTCCTAAGTTGTCGGAAGCTGAGCCTGAAACTGTGCCTGCAATCAACCTACTTCACATATGGGGAGCAATATTATAGGCAGAAACATGGGTGTGCTATGGGGTCTCCAGTTTCTCCTATTGTTGCCAACCTGTACATGGAGGAGGTAGAAAAGAGAGCCTTGACGTCCTTTTCAGGGACACCACCAAGTCATTGGTTCAGGTATGTTGACGACACCTGGGTTAAAATCAAATCTCAGGAAGTCCAACATTTTACTGACCACATCAACTCTGTGGATAAATACATCAAGTTCACACGAGAAGATGTAAAAAAATGGCAGGTTGGCTTTCTTGGACTGTGAGGTCTCAGTCTCTGATAGAGGACATTTGCAAACTGAGGTGTACCGCAAACCCACCCACACAGACC